CCGAATTTTTTCACCTATCCCGAATTTATTTTACACCTAGCCCGAATTTTTTTTCACCTGAGGTGCGACTTTTTGACCCTAACTAGTTGGGATTGTAATGGTTCAAGAATGATTTCCTATATATCGAGAAATATTGGTATGCTAGAATATGTTCTATAGCTTTTTAACTTTCTTGTACACATATAAAAATTTACACCTAAGACGAGCTTAGGTGTACATTTTTATTCTTTGCTAGATGATAATGAATCCTTTTTAGAATTAATTCTAGGATATCTCAAAAATTAGTATGCATCTTTGGCTTGACAAGGTCATAGACTCGAATATTTCGTCACTTCATTCCTCAATAATCGATTCTACTCCCAAAGGCAAGCAGTATAGCATAAATATTTGTATACATAGAAGGTTTGCAGAGACTCCACGAGTTTGGCTTCGAACCTTTGGTTCTTGCCAAACACGCATCGTCTCAAAGGCAAATAGAATGGTTTAATTTTTTTGATATCTTTGGCGGGTTTAAAATCGCGCTAGAAATGCTATATCAATTTTGTTTGATTTTAGATTTCGAAGTTCAAATTTTATAGCAAGGAGGATTTATATCAAAATTGGGCGCTGGCGTGATTTTTAAAACGGAATTCTATATTATGAATTCGTATTGCTAGATGAGCTTCTGGTATACGATTGAAGCTTTTATGGATACCTTAGGGCAATTTTGACCCCAGAAGTCCCAAAATTGCCCTACTATATCTAGTTAAGTAAATGATTTTTATAATAAAATCATAATAATATATAATATCGATCATTAACAAAAAAATTTATCTATATAACATTTAGTTTTTTATTATATTACATGATTGTTACATATAATATAAATTTTTTAATAATAAGCTATATTCTTATATATCAAAAAAATATTACAATAAAGTTTCTTAGATATATTAAAAAAATATATAAGTGCTATTAATTATGCTGATTTTGTAAGATCATGTATTAAATCTGATATAGATCTATAATAAAATTATTAGCGATAAATCTAATAAGAATCATGATGATATATTCAGCTGTAGAAAAAAGCTTTGCGAGCAATAGGCAGGTTCTAAAATACTTTTTATACTAAAATATTAATTTGATAAATAGGAACACCTAGTCTATTGCAAGCAATAGCATTACTATTAACATCAAGAGTACTGAAATTTTACTATAATATTTGCCAAAAATATCTTTAAGTTGATTGTAATAAATATAAATGATATGCAGTATGCTAATCTTATCTCTTCAAAATATACTTCTAATTGTCCGTTTACTACTATATAATTTAGTAAGAATGCTATTAGTCATATATAGAGTCTGACCTAATATTAAAAGTATTAGAAGTATTAGAAATAGAAAAAAATTAGAATATTTTAAATTATTGAATAATAAATAAAAAGGCCTGTAATACATATAATTATATATTAATCAAACTAATTAATCACCAAAATTCATATAGGATTTTTCTTAAAATTTTAATTCTAAGTATGTATCTTACATATTACTATAATATCTAAAGTTCACACTTTTCTTCTAAATCATCTAAATCTTGACTCACAAAAAACTTCACATATCATTCATGCATAAGGTCTTTCCTATATAATTATTTTTATAATAAAATTAGAAAAAATTAGGAAAAAAAATCTAATATGTATAAAATATTAGATGCTGATTATTTTTCTCTTTCACATAATTTATAGTGAGCTATTATAAAATTTAAAAAAATTATAAAACTGATAATAAGCCTAAGTGACCCAAAGAAATTTTCTTATATAAAGTACCAAAAATATTTATTGGAGGATTATTGATAATACTTCTATTGAAAACTTTAAAATAATCTTGAAGTCATCCAACAACTGCTCTATATTCTATTTTTTTCAACTTAACTATAAATACATTTTTCTTTGAATTAATATCAAATTTATATTTGTGTATATGTAGTATTCAAAGAAAGTATCCATTTTTTTTACAGATAAATTTCAGTCTATTTGTATAGGTAAACTATCATACGTATTAATACTAAATGGAAATTAATTTATCTGTAAAATATTCATTTACCTTTTCTTTCCTAGAGATTCTTTTACATTCTGAAAATTCCTTTTTAAAGGCAAAAGTTGATTGATCATTTTTGAAAAAAAATATCGTTTATTAATTGTATTTTTATCATTTTAAGTTAAATTTAAGGTTACATAAAAAAAGTCACATAAAATAATTTGATTCTTCACATAATTACAAAAAATATGATGCAACTTATTATATAACAAAATTTATTAAACTTAGCCAGTTTTCTTTTATTATCTACTTCTACAATAAATTATTAGAAACTGATCATCACAATAGCTTAATTTTTTAAGAGTCTTAAAAAAATCAATTTATTCCTTTTTTTTAGTAATAAACATCATTGTTAATATTATAGATAAAAAAAAAGATCTTTTTTATAAAGTTTTTTTAACCAAATAAGTAAACAACGAAAATAAATTATTAAAGTCTATTTTGCTGGTACTAATGGTCTAAAAATATCATCAAGTTTCAATATTTTTCCTGCAGTATATGATACTATTAACTGGTATAAAAAAACTGATTTTTTACATGTTCTAAATGACTGAAAGTCTTATGTAATCATAATAATATTTCTTTTTCTTTCACCTTCTAATTCATCAGATTCTAATAGATAATAAATTTTAATATAACTAGGTAAAAGTAATTTATTATAACTAACCAGTCTTTTATATTTAATAGAAAGGTTAGCTATTATTATTTTCTTTTTTAATACTTTTTTATAATTTTATTAGGAGATATATCTATTAATTGAGTAGAAGTATTATTGTAAATATTATCATTTATACAAAATCCCTTAACTTATACTCTAGACCTATTAGTTAAAGATAAATAAAAATCAACATCATCTTATCAAAATAAGTATACTTTTCAAATTCTTGATGATCACATTTAGCAATAACTCTCATATATAATATATAAGATGTTTTGTCTCAAATCCTTAGACATACATATATTATTTTAATAATAAAACTGTTTTAATAAAATGATATAATTTTTATAAAAGATTCTTTATCATTATTTAATTTTATAAATTAAATATAATTCATCTTGATTTTGTATTTCAAATTAACCAATTGTCTTTATTGTTTTTAGATATTAGAATTCTACTTTTAAAATTTATAATTGAAGTAAATTATATAAACAAGAATTCAAACTTCAAAGTATATAGGCTGATTTACAATTATGATTGAAGATTTTAAATATAATTCAGTATATATGATCAATTTAGTTCTTAATTAATAATGTAAAATAATTACTTTAATTAATGTTTAGATAAGTTTATTATTAATTTTAGTAAAGATATGCTTATAAAAAAAGTAATATTATAAAAAGTAACCATATTAAAGTTGATTAGGATTAATTTATTTTTCAGAAATTGTTTCATGAACCTATTTTTAATTTTAATATATTTTTTTTTGACTGTATATTTAATGTGAATATAGTAGATATAATCTAATTTTTTTAAAACATGATTTTCATTATTAGTTACTTTATTAAGTAGTAATTATTTGACTTGAAATACCGGCAAAGGTATTTATCAAATTTTTTTCTTAATAAATATTATTAAATTTCAATGGAAAAATAAAAATTGTAATTATTATATTCAGTTTATTATAACTATATCCAAGGATATCCTCCCTTTGTATCACATCGTATCACACCCCTCAAGTTTCCGTTTTTACTAATTATTCATGGTTTGAGTGGCGAAATCTTATTTGTCACACATATATATTTGTCACGGTTAGAGTTAGGTTAGGGTTAGTTAGGATTAGGTAGGGTTAGTTAGGGTAAGTAGGGTTAGTTAGGGTTAATTAGGGTTAGTAAGGTGTTAGCATATTATTAGGGGAGGATACTGGGTATCCCCCGGTATGAAATAAAAATATTCTATTATATTTGTCTTTTCAAAAAAAAAAAAATAAAATAAAATATTTTAATTTATTTCATTATCCACAGCTAATGAACTTGAATCATTTACAATTTTGATTCAAAATTCGAGCATATGATCAGACCGATGGCAAAATAAGAGTTTTTTATTCCACATCTTTTGTTGATCGAATCGATTACGATGGAATTTTTAATCCTCACGTTATTCTATATGACTTGGAGAAGCGACTATAAAAATGATGTTGATATTTTGCGAACAGAAATCGTTTATCTTATCGTGTTAATCTCACAGTATTACAATGAATTACAACACTAATCTTTTTACCCTGATTCTTCTGCTCCAAAATTTCCAATAATTTTGTTATTTTGTACATCAATCAAACATTCTCAGCTTATTCAAGTTTTTTTTTCTATTATCTTGTTTCTTTTTCTGTGATGTTATCGATGCGCGAAATAAATTAATTGTAGAAGAGCTCATGTAAGAATCCGAACCTAAAAGTATTAACCGAACATAAATCGATTAACATTTCCATTCAAATTTTACTGCGGGGTTTTCTATTCTCAAAAGTAGCATGAAATGATTCTTAACACCTTTTTTCGCTTACTTGTCAGAATCCAAATTGAAATATCAAAAATTTTTATATAATACTTAAAAAGTAAAATACCTCTTGTAATTACATTGGTGTAGAATAAGGATGATTATTATTTTTCTTGAACTCGTGGATTCGTATAGTTTCTTGCTCCAACAATTACGAGTTTTCTTAAAATAAAATAATGAATATTTGTGAAATAAGATATCTAATAAGGGAATGATGAAGTTACACGAAATCTCTTAAATAAGAAAGATGATTTCAAGATTTAAATGGTATGATGTAACTTGCATAAACAACAAGTTTTTGATTGGCAATTGAATTATCATGATGTTTATCGAAGCCAATTGTCCTTTGATGGAATATGATGCAAACACAAATGGAATTTTGAAAAAATATAAAAGCTAAAACGTTTTTATTCTTTCATCAAGCCATAAAACAATGACGCTCATATCAAAGTTGATGACGGATGGCCTTATGGCTCGCATTCGTAGGCCAAGTTTATTTAATAAACTTACAACAGTTGATGATCTTATCGATAGTGGATTCTTTAAGAACGGAATGCGAGTAGGATGGGTAAGTTATTTTAGATTTTTCAAAAGCCTAAAAAAAAATTTTACTTTTTGATCAACTTTCTGATAATTTTAATTATTAAGTCTGGATTTACGGGAGTAGGTTATCCAAAAGTTACGCCTATTGCATTAGCAGAGTATGTAGAAAAGAATAATTTACAAGGAAAACTTCGTTTTGATCTTTATGTTGGCGCTAGTACAGCTTCTGAAACCGAAGATAGGTAAATATAAGAGTTACCAAGTTGCCTTTTAAAGTTTAATTTCGGGAACTAACATGATGTCTGCTGCGCCACGCGCTATCCTAGATGGGCAAAGGTAAAATTCAATGAAATACTGGGACTTTTTTGACCCGATACTCAAGTTTTGCTTCCTATTTAGAATGATATGATATCTCGTAGATATCCATATCAAGTTGGCAAACACGTACAAAAAGGAATCAATACGAATCGTATTTTATTTGCCGATAAGCACCTTTCGGAATTTCCGTTGGTAAATATCACGTGAATTCAATCATTTTTATGTAGAATACTAATCTTTTTTTCGTATATTTAGGATTTGGTTTCCGGATATTACACATTAGAGAAGAAGGGGAATGTAATTGAAAAACTTGACGTTGTAATTGTTGAAGCGACGGCAATCACTGAAGAAGGGCATATTATTCCTGGAGCATCCGTTGGCGCAACACCAGAAATCGTTCAGTCAGCAGCTCATGTAATAATAGAAGTTAATACAGTCCTTCCTAATTTTGAAGGATTACATGACATTACCTTGAGCAAATTCGCCCCATATAAACTTCCAAATTTGATTCAAAGAGTTGACGATCGTGTCGGAACGGTAAGATAATATATATATATATATATATATATCGCTAATTTTATTTTCATATCTAATTTGGTTTTTTTTTTTTTTTTTTAATAAAGCCTTATATTCCAATTGATAGCGATAAAGTTGTTGCGATTATAGAATCCACAAAACTTGACAGGACATTGGAAAGTGAACCGCAGGATGACATATCACATAAGATAGCGAACAATATTCTTGAATTCTTAGAACATGAGGTAACAATGGGAAGATTACCGATTCACCTCCTTCCTTTACAATCAGGAGTAGGAAATATTGCTAATGCGATTATCGGAGGTCTTGCGGATGGTCCTTTTACAGATGTTGAAGTATGGACCGAAGTTATTCAAGATACATTCTTAGATTTTTGGGAACATCATAAATTAAGTTTTGCTTCGGCTACTAGCGTTTCATTTTCACCGGATGGGTTTAAGAGATTTTATGAAATGTGGGATCATCTCAAAGATCGTCTTGTATTAAGAAGTCAAAGTGTCTCTAATTCACCCGAGATCATTCGAAGATTGGGCACTATCGCAATGAATACACCCGTTGAGGTTATATATATATATATATTTATATTTATTTAATCTGACCCATCTTACGCGTTCTTATGATTATTTTTCTCATCTTGTTCAACAGTTCGATATTTATGGTCATGCGAATTCTACACACGTGTGCGGAACAAGAATGTTGAATGGTATTGGCGGTTCAAATGATTTCCTGAGAAACGCCAAACTCAGCATTATGCATACACCATCTACCAGACCCACCAAAAAAGATCCTATAGGCATTTCATGTGTGGTCCCAATGTGCTCTCACATCGATCAAACGTAAGAAAATCAATGACAAACTCCTTTTTGTTTTTTTTATAAAAAATCGAATTAATTATTTTTTAATTGTATATCATTAGTGAACATGACCTTGACGTGTTAGTGACAGAACACGGATTAGCGGATGTTCGTGGGCTCGCACCGGTTGAAAGAGCCAGATTAATAATTAATAATTGTGCGCATCCGGATTATAAACATATTCTTAAGGACTATTTTGATATGGCCGAAAAGAAATGTATGTTAACAGCTGTTGCTCATGAACCACAAATGTTGGATATAGTATTTAAAATGCATTTGAACGTTATGGGCGAAGAGAACACCATGAGAATTAAATCTTGGTGATATTAATAAAAAAAAAAGTTTTATGAATGATAAAATCATTTCGGAAAATTTTGGAAGTCTAGGCTTAAAGGAAATTTCGGAAATTTCCGATTTTAGATTTTACGCCAATTGATATCTATATTTGTTTTCATTGGTTGGTAAAATCTTTAAATCTAAAATACTCACATCTAAAACAATGTTGTGCATCAATGACTGTTCCCACACTGCCTCTATTGTAATTTGTCCCAATTTGGAATAATCAAAATTCCTGAAATTCAAGTCCATGAATAATCAGCTGACTGATTTTCGATTTTCGAATTGGCTTAAATTCCCCTATAAAAAAAAGGGGGAGGTTTTTGACATCTGAAAATTAGCAATGCATTTTACCTAAACTTGGAAATTTAATCATCATAAATCTCTAAAATGGGATGATCGCTAAATTTAGTAATAGTGACGTTTGTATAGATCATCACTCAACATGAATGTCTTACTACAAATTGGGTGTTTATAATTTTTTTTTTTTTTTTTTTTTTCTTTTTTTCTCTCACTTAAAAAAAAAAGAACTCATCTAAAATTCTTATTTACGAAATTATTTTTTTTTAGTTTTTACGTTAAATTGTTTTAATTTATAAAATTTTTTTTTTTTTAAAAAAAAAAATTCTTTATTTATCTCGAGACTCCTTAAAACGGAGCCTTGATTCCGTCTTTTATACACAAGGATTATTATCTCCGTTTTATTTAATGAATGATATCTGGCTGATTTTTTTCCAATTAATATCAGTAACCTATTAATATATCTCACTGCGCTTCATTCATATTCCGCTGCGCTTTTTAATATTACGATTTTATTAGTTACGCAATTCAGTCACGAATAAAAAATTAGTTTTTTTTTTTTAAATCAAATGAAGCCTTTAAACTTATTCGATTCCAATTCGCAACCTTCTTTTGAATCGGTTAATAATAACCATTGGGACCTCTTGTCATCCTCTTTTTATCACACTTTGTATAATTCTCTCCCATTTCGATTATTAGTATTGGGAAATCAAAACTTGTCATCCAATTATTATATATATTATTTTTCTCCAATATATACAAATCTCAAACAATATTCCATAACGAATTTATTACTTGCCTACACCCTTCCTCTCTTATATATTTTCTCTCCAACTTTGGTAAGTTCTAAATATAATGACGCGCATTGAAACATATGATTTAGATCGATTATTTATGAGTAATAAAAATGAGGTCGCATATACTGCGGTATTAAATAATTTTTTTTTATCAATTAACTAATTTATGAGATGTTTTTATCTTCTATATTGCAGATAGTACCTGCAATATTTGTTCGTTCCTTACAATTCTTCGCTTCTAAAACAGCTGCTATAAGTAATAGCTTAACTTCCAACAAATCTCGTTCAACACTTTTCAACCTGTCGTCCACAAGCAGTTCGGGTACCTCTTCCTCCTCCTCTTCTCAGAGAGGAGATAATGGCGAAGATATAACTTCTGCTCAAGATATAGAGTATTGGTTGCAAAGGTGCTCTATATGCTTTGATGCTCAATTGGATTTTTGTTTAGACATTTGTCGTGACCAATTCTGTAGAGAATGTTTTCAAAGGTGATATATTAAAAAAGAAAAAAAATCCCATGAGGATTTATTATAATTTTAACAACTCTTAAATATGTCTAGATATGTGAAAGAAGTTGTTCATAGTTCTTGGGGTCTTAGTATCACTAAAATAAAATGTCCTGTATGTCAGGAAGTTGTGTCCCAATCCGAGTGGAGCAAGGTAACAAAAAAAAATAAAAAAAAAAAAAAAAATAATAAAATTTTTTTTTTTATTAAATATTTAATAATTTCATAGTACGTAGATCAAAATACGGTTGACCTCTATAATACATACAATAAACCGTATCGGTCATTCTCTCGTTGTTGTGCTGAATGTGGCGAAGAGGTTTTTGCTGCTCAAGTATTTCAAATTTGTTCCGAGGAAAAGAGAAAGTAAGTCCACGCTGAAGAGAATTCATTGACAAATATTTATGTAAAATAAAAATTGGAAAAATAAATTTTTTTTTTTTTTTATATCATCTTTTTTAAGATATTTTAAAGATATTTCCAACCTCCTCCGTAAATTTTTGGAAAATTATGGAACTGTCAAGAATTCTAAGGGAAAAAATCCAGTCAATAAGAATGATATAAGTAATTTTATCGCTAAATTTGAAACTGATTACTTAATTTACATTTCCGGAGAAAATACCGATACCGGAGTCGCAGAGATGTATGAATACATCACAAAAAAAATTGGAAAATCTCTCGGCCTGAGGTAAAGCATTGCATTATCAAACAGGGACAGATCAAAGGGTTTTTAATAATAAAAATAAAATTTTTTATCAATTAACAGTTTGGATGTAACCAATAAACGAGCTTCAAAACTTTCGCGTCGTAAGTTAAAAACGCATACTGATATGGTAATAGCTGCGGCAGAAATCTCTTCGAAAATCGTTGCATTGGAATATCGCCCGGAAGCATGGAAAGAATTGCAATTTATGCACGTTTCTAACTTCCCACAATCTCGTTGGTAAGTGATTCAAATTTTTTTTTTTTTTTTTTTTAAAAAAAAAAAGACTATTTTAGGTTAATCATTTCAATTTTTAATTTTAATATAGCACTAAATGTAAGAGTGATATTTGTCTTCAATGTGGGGATTCAACACATCATCCTGGAATGACATGTATTCAATACATGCGTCATAAGGTGGAAAATCCACATTTGTTTATTACGAACCATCTTTTACCGCGTATTGATGGTAATGACATGATGGACGCACTCGAAAATACTAAATGGAAGCTGGCAAATTCAAAATCTTGCCCAAATTGTTCAATTTTAATTAATCGTGATGATGGATGCAATAAAGTTGATTGTTTGCATTGTGGATATAGATTTTGTTGGATTTGTAGAAATGGCTGGTCAGAGAAATGTGGGTTCTATCAGTGTAGGATTGGTAAGCAAAAGAAAGTTGGTGACAAACAATCTTTGAATAACCTTTTGCAGCAACAAAATACTTTACAACTGCAAAATCAGCAGCAATCAGATGATGTATCTCAAATCGATGGATTTCAAGATGATGATGTAGAAATGTCGGATTCTTTTCAAATTACAGACAATGAAGAATATGATTATGATGAAAATGATGATGAAAATCAAAGCGATGTCGTTACGTTGAATGTATTGGCTCGAAGTTTAGATGATCAAGTGAGTAAATTTTTTAAGGATTTTTCCTTATTTTTTTTTTTTTTTTTTTTTTTTTTTTTGAAAATGATTTATAATTTCAAATTTTTTTTTATATAGCCTGAGATCGGAGTTCCAAATGTTTTCTTGATTCAATCCAAGATAGCCCCTACAACTACAAATTATTAGATAAATTTGTCAACTTTTTTTTTAGAAGGTCGGATAGAGTGAGAATTGGGGCATAATATTATATTATTATTATTATTTTTAAAAAAAAGAACATTAGAACATTATTGGGGAATTAGTAGGGATAGAACGAATTTTTTAAAAATATTAAGGAAGGAGATCATTATTTGAATCTTTTTTTTTTTTTTTGTTTTTGATGTATAGTGTATAGTAGCTTTTATTTGTATATTTGTATTTTTTGAAGAACCTTTTTCTCTTTGTTTAATATTTACTCTGACGATTTTTATTATTATTATTACTATCCTATTTTTTTTTTTTTTTTACTTCCAAATAGATCACAAATTTATATATTTTGCTATATGATTTCAAATCGTATCAGATTTTGGATTCTTTAGAATGTATATCTATTTTTTTTTTTTTTATTGAAATGATTTAGATAATAAATGTAGAAAAATATTTTATTAAGAAATTAAAATTTTCCGTTATTCTAAATTATATTTATTCTATAATAATTATTATTTTTTGATAATGTTAATTCAGTATAAGTAATGTAAATAATATTATTAAATGTAATGTATTTTAATTAAGTTGATAAAAAATTATGACTAATTAATATATTAATGATTATTAATTATTATAGTGGATCTATTATAAATGTATTATGAATTATTTTTTTCCGGGTTTTCCGCACCGATTTAACATGGTCAATTGTAATTTTCTTTGCACAGTATGCAAATCTTTTTCTTCAAGTTCTTCGATCAACGCAAGAACAGCAGTGAGCACATTCGACTGATTTTTTTAAAAAAAAAAGATGGGAAAATCATTAACTTTTTTTTTTAAAAAAAAAAACAAAAAAACAAAAAAAAGATATCGAGAAGACTTTGTAACGAATGAAACTATAATTACCTGTCGTGATGTGACATCCTCGTTAATATTATTATTTGGTGGAGTTCGAGATTGAGTTCTGCTCAAAGGGGCAGATAATGACTTGCCGGATAACTTTGGTTGAAAATTACCATTTCCGATCGTCTTTGAGGTTCCATTATTTGACCTTGATTTTACCAACTTGACACCACTTTCTTGTGAAGGAGTAGGTGTACGTGATGGTGTTCGATTTGAATTTATAGCAGGTGAACGTACCCGTGGGCTACTTTGTTCAATACCATGGGAAGATAAAAGGCCATTCGAATTTGCTCTAATGGGTTTGGGTGTCTTAATTTCTGGAGATCTTGATAAGGAATCAATTCCATCCGATCCTTCATTATTTGAAGACATTTTACTAGGATTCAATCTTTTACGAACTTTATTAGGCATTGAAGCTGGTAACTATAAGATAAAAAAAATTACTTTTAAAGTTATTATAAAAGCAAACAAACACAACATAACGATATGATAAATTGTAGCGAAAGACCTTATTAAAATTTATTCAAAAAACTCACACTACACATAGAAGCAAGGACTTCTTCATCAGTAACCTCTAAATCATGACAAAATTTATGTTAGTTCTAATTAACCATTATATAATTTTTTTTTTTTTCTTTTCGGCCTACCGTGATGATCTAATTTTTTTAACCAAGGCAAATACCTCAGAACTATATTTCGATATTTCTTTTCATCCTCGGCACATGGATTATCACATAACCAAAGTACCTCTAAATTTCTTAATGAAGTAAGGTGTTTTACTTGTTCAGAGTCATTGATATAATTTTTCCGTAAATAAAGTTCTATAATTTTTTTTTTTTTTTTTAAAAAAAAAAAAATTTCAATATTTAAAAAGAAATAATGAATCTTTTTCACAACATTGATGTACATACCTTTTAGAGTTTTGCCTTCATTTTAAATTATTAAAAAGTCCAACGAAATATGAATTAACGGCAAATGTTGAAAATTTACAATTAACCAGATACCATTAGAAATTATAAAGCTGACTCACATTCCGAAAGTTGTTCCAGAGAAGTGAGGTTATTTACACTATATAATAAAAGAAAAATATATAACTCGGTGATTTTTGAAACTTGATTTAATAATAAACGACAAATCCAACAATAGTATTATTATTTCTACCTCAAACTCAGTATCTCTAAGCTACTACAATTTTTTAATACACTAACGTCATCTAGTTCACAACCCTAAAAAATTAAGTAGGTTATTTGTTTTAATCAATAAACTTAATATTATAAAAATAAAATAAAATAAAAATAAAAATAAAAATAAAAATGAGGTACCCAAAGATTTAAGTTGCGCACTTCAACAACAGATTTTGCACTCGATTTATTCAAAATAAGTTCGTCTGTCAAAATTGCCATAGTTTCTTATTCCGATTAGAAACCACAACGTTGTAAATATATAAAAATATATCCACAACAACTGAAGTTTGGGGCAGGTATTCTATATCTATCTATATATATTTCTCTAAGCTAATGTATTTAAATTATATAAACATGATTTTTTTTTTTTTTTAGAATAATTTTTTTATTCAATTAATTTATATAATATAATGTGAATAATTTACCTTTGGATCGACTCATCCTTCAAAAACGGACGGACATCCGGACATTTTAGGAAATCGTTAAAACTGTATCGACTCAATTTATTTAAGTTGATTATTTTGAATTATGTAAACCCATACATACATAGTCGGCTAAATAAGATAACGGACATGTGAATATGCAAATTATTGTATGCACAATAAAATAATAACTTTAAACCTCACTTGGAGGAGAAAGGAAAGGATTTGTTTCAGCAGCATTTTTCAACGATTCATTCTAATAATTCATTTATGCGAAAGGAATCTAAAAATAAGGGCATTAAAAGTTATAAATTTCCAAAATATTCTAAAATTAAACATTTCAACATTTCATTTACTTAAACCAAGAATGGCTTCGTCGTATGATTTTTTACAATAACGGATTTATAATCAAGTTCTTTACTGGATCAGCGTAAAACACTTTTTTAATTTCGACCCCAGATCGGGACATCGGATGGATCGGATCATTACAACTAACCCATAAATGTTTGAAAAGTACAAAGATGTGACACCTAAATCATTAAACAACGGATTATCATGAGGCTCATACAATCTGACAAAGAAAACAAAGAAAAATCAAAGCGTGCATCAATATCAAATTTTTTACTCTCGTTCAAAAAAATTTTAATGTGTTTAGATTATTAATGCTCAACGCGTTCTAATTTTATATGGTTATTTAGATTGTAGGTCTTCACATGAAAAAATATTGCCAACCAACTAGTTTTTGGTGTACATACTGTATATTAATGAAGTACAACGCTTCAAAGGATTCTACCTAAAAACCTGTTTCGTTAAAGTTTAAAAATATCTCGATTATTATTGTTTATTTTTCGTGTAACTTTTTTTTTTCCTTTTTCAAAACGACTAAAAACTTCAATAAATGTTTCGAACATTTTATAAATCAAGTAAAGCAACAAAGACCTATAAATAATGTCAAGATAAACTAACTGTATTGGGATTAACGATGATTTTTAATCTTCCTTCTTTGCGGCCATAGCTGCCTCTTCTACTTGTGATGCACGAATATATACAATAAACCTACAAAATAAAAATAAATTTCACCAAAAAGGTTTCTTATTATATTACAAAAGATTTATTGACTCACTCACCATATCACGCCAATGTATAACATAAACGAGGTGCCTAAGTTGATCAATACGATATAATTATGATCTGTCACAACGGCCAGGAAAATAAGGACTATAAACAATAACCAGAAACTAATATGTAAAGCATTTACAACATTATTATTAAATCCAGGCATGGTCATAGATTCTACAACATCGGTAACTATTGATGAAGGTGTTGAAGAAGTAGCTTGAAGTAAAGTTTGTACTCGATCACTTGAAAGTAACTCTTTTTCTTCTGTATCGAAATTTTAAAAAAGTTTGATTCTTGATTAATAAAAAAAAAATAAAATAAAATAAAATAAAATAAAAACGCTTATATGATTAAAATCAAGAACCACCATGAATATCTTAGGTGGACTTTCGCTTTCATCATCCAAATAATATATCTCACCTTCTAGATCATCTTCATCTTGATTCACCATTGCTTTAGTGTCGGCTTCTTCACTAATGGATTCATTTGCCTCTTTTGAAAATTTTTTCTTTTCATTTTCGTCTCTTCTAATATCGCGATCAGTTTCATTCTTATCAAGTTCAATAACTCGTTTCTCAAGTGACACATCTTCTGATCCTTTTTTACTTTCCATTTCTTTAATTTCTTTAACAATTTTATCATTATCAGCTATATCTTCATTCAATACAATGCCAACCTCCCGTTTTACCTCCTTATCACTTTTAATAGTTTCGGAAACATCTGCAAGTTCAGGTAGAGTTTTAACAACCATTTCCTCCGTTTCTAAAGCTTTTCCTTGTTCAACCTTTTGATCTTTTTGAATTTCGTTATCCATAAACAGATTTTTTTTTAAAGAAAAAAAATATCAATTCAATTTAATTCAATAATAAAAGTTATTGATGAGAAAATTTATATCTGTATTTGATAATATTTTTATTACGTTAAACTTTTTAAAGTAAATAATATTATTATTTATATAATAATCTTTTTTAAACTATTTAAGAAATGAACTTTGAACTTTATCGTACTCAATTTTGAGAAATGAATATCTCTCGTGCATAGAAATTTGTGAATTTTTTTAAAGTGAATGAAATTTGGCAACAAAATCAAACATGTTAAATAGGTATTAAATGTTGACCAGTTATGTAAAGATAATCTAAAAATCTATCCATTGGTGTAATTCTGTTCCACCTTCACGTGATATTGGCCGGCATTACGGCATAAAGATATTATGAAAAATAATATACATGGTGTTACAATAGTTACAATAGTGCAACAAATTATAACATGACGTTGCCTTCGCGACTAAAGCTAAAACAACATTTATCCCCCGTTCCAATAATTACAAACCCAGACCTTTTGCTATCTTTTACTTTGATTCTGTCATACCCTCAACGATGCTACTAAAATGCATATGTATGCATTTGGTGAAATGAATTATAATGGTATTCTGCTGATGTTCTACTGAACATTTGGTCATAAAATGTTCTTTAATTGAAAAAGTCAAAGAACCTGAACCAAAACAACGTAGCAGAATCCAACTGGCTTCCGTTCAACGTCTCTATAACTGATACAAACCTGCTGGCGCTCGTTCCTTAATCATTAGAAATAACAAGAAGAATAGAGATGATCAACACAAAAGCATGCAAACCCTCCTTCAAACTCATCTTATTCAAACATAGTTAAAGGAAAACAGAGGTGGCTCTCAAAAATTCACAACCCTAATAAGATGAGACTAATGCTAAACTAAATCAAATCTTCAGCATATTAACTGGCATGCAAAAAGCAATGGTTGATCTTGATACTTGTATTACTAAACTAGAAAAACTTCAGTCTAAACTTCCTTCTATACTAACTAATAATACTACAATTACTGGTTTACCTGTTTTTACAAACACTAATAACAGATCATCTCACTTCAACAAACGCCTTAAAATGACAGTTTTCTCTTCTGATAACAATAATATTAATAATATTTCTAAAGATAATGTTTCTAAAATGAGAAAATTCATTGAAGAATAAAGCAAAATTATCATAGATCAAAAGAGCAAATGCAACAAATAATGGTTCAACTTATTATTCTAACTGAAAAAATTCCCAAATAACTATTTTATCCTTTCTTTATATTTTTCATTATAATTAATATATCTAATTTTAATTCTATCAATAATAACATTAATTATTACAATAACAATAATAATTCATTTTTAAAAGAAAACTTCACTATTTTATTTATCATAAATAATGTTAATTTCTTACAATGTGAACTCAAAATCTAATTAATTAATAATACTTTTATTGATTTAAATATTGACTTTATTAGTCTGATCGAAACATAACACAAAAGCAACTAAATTTATAAATACAAATGTGATTTAAAATTTCTAAGTTTTAGAGCTTTCAAATCAATATTTATTTTGGTAGTATTAGTATCTTAATCAAACAATATTAGTTAATTTATTTTCAAAAAACCTTTATATAAAGTAACTATTTTATTTATATTGACCTCTACTTATCTGATAACTTCAAATTAAGAATTTTCAGTATATATTTTTATATTTCTCAATATATTCAATCTAAAAAAAATTATATCAAATTATATGAAGATATTTTCATATATTAAAAATAACATTAAAAATAATTTAAAATTATTTTTTAAGAGATTTTAATATAGATCTTAAGCATAATATTAATAATAATATGAGCTTTTTATAATAAAAAGAAAGAAAATTACCAAAAAAATTTTTTTTTACTTTATAAGCTAAATATTATTTTTTTAGTAAAATAAGTTCAAATTTAACATTAACACAAAAAAATTTTTTTGGTAGTTTTCTTTTTTATTATAAAAAGTCCATATTATCTAATGTTAGCATTCAATTTTATGAAAAAATTTTAAATCTTAATTTCTATATCTATATAATATATATTATAATATATTTACACTTACTTTTTAAAAAGACAATTTAAATTTTTACATTAATATTATTTTTACATTTATTAAACTTTTTACTGATTACAAAATCATATTAATGATCTTTAACAATCTATAACAATAATAACAAGTCAAATTAAAATTACATCAACTTCATCATTAAGTTTTTAGTATTAAAAAAATAGATTCATCTAAATAAGCAAAATTTGCTAAATATATCAACTTTTATTATAATAATCACAGTTACAAGATTTTCTAATAAATTGTTAATATGAATACCTTATAAACAAATATTAAAAATGCTATTATCATAATAAACAATGCATCCCTCAAATTTGAATTTCCTTATATGATATTTATAAAAAAAATATAACAATCTTGACTCATAAATAACTATTAAAAAGACCTATTCAAGTTTACTTATATTCAAAAAAAAGACTAATTCAATAACATATATTATTTTTAAAAATAATTTATTTAACTATTTAAAAAATTATTATAAATATAAAACTTTTCTTTTATGAAATTTTTTCACACTTTTTTTTAGATAATATTTGCATTATCAAAAGTTATTTAAAAGAAATTCATAAAACTTATTCTTCTTACTAAACCAAATCTCTAAAAAATTAGAAAAGTTAAGATTAAACAATTTATTAACAAAAAATGTAATAATCTAAAACTGCTCTATCAATTATGATTGACTTTATTTTAAATAAAAGAAATATACTATTATTATGAATAAAGATGGTTATCATAATTAAAAAATAGTGCAATTGAGTTATAACTTATAGCGCAATTAAATTTCCTTATAACACAATTAAGTTGCAACTCAATTGAAATTTGAAAATAATTATAGAGGCCATCTTTAATTATGAATAAATTGCTTCTTGAAAATTCTATTATAAATAATAAATAATTTACTATTAATTTAAATGAAATCAAAAATGTTACTATTAATTATTACTAAATTTTACTTTTTCTGATTATTCTGCTAAATCTATAAATTTTAAATAGCAATGATAGTATCAGCTTCAAGATTCCATTAAAAAAAAATATTATTTTAACCTTATATAATTACTAATATATCTGTTGTTCTTAAATTATTACCTTCTTATAAAATTACTAATCATTTGGTATCATTAATAAATTAATAAAATATATTAGAAATAAATTACAATAACTATTCTAGCAACTCATTTATATACTTCAAGATTAGAGATATATCTATTAATTGAAAGATTACCTATATTTATTTACAGTCAACGATCAAAATTATGCGAAAATTTTTAAAATCAAATAAATTATATACACATAATATAATAAAAATAAGATTTTAATAAATATAAATTCAAATATATCTTTATTTATTGATTTATAAAAAAGTTTAATAATAATCCTATTTCCATTTGCGACAATAACTGCTGCAATTCACTGTGGTATACTATCGATCAGTTTTTGTAATTTTCCAGAGGGATATCTTTCCATGCATCCTTTACATACTTTTCAAGTACTTTAATACTAGATAGTGGTGTTAAAAAACCAGTTTTGCGAAAATGTTTAAGAATACTATAAACAGCTATTTTATTACACCTATAGTATGACCTGACTGTCTATATTTATAACAATAGTAAGTACTTTCATATTTGGTATGAACTTACTTAAGAGAAAATGTATGGGGTATTGTTTATCATTATAAGTAAAAAATGATGTATTATTTTTATTATGTAATCACGTGAAGGTATACCTAATTTTAACAAATTAAAATGTTCATATAATTTTGGTCGTTAACTGTAATACTAAAACCTAAAATATTATTATAATATTATAAAAACAAAATTTATTATATTATTAAAAACAGTTAGAAAAAAAGTAATTAAAATTATCACTAACAGATTATCTAAACTTTTAGTCAAATACAATATTCTAAAAGGTAATAATTTTGCTGACCTCTTAAATGGATTAAGTAAACCTTCTATTAAAAACCTATCACAACTTATCTTTATGACCCAAACCAAAATTCAGATCCAGATAGCATTCCTAAAAAAAAGAAGCAAAAAGAACATTAATAGCATTTCAAAGACAAAGAAAAACAAAAAATTCTATAAGAAAATTAGCAAAAAAGTTGTTAATGATGTTTTAAAAATAAAGAAAAAAAATAATTCTACATTATCTTACCTTTATAACTTAAGCTAAAATCCAGGTCTAGGAAAGCACCTCCTAAAAAAAAGAAGTAAATGAAATATTAATAGCATTCCAAAGACAAAAAAGAAATAAAAACAATACCCTTACATCACTTACCTTCACAGTTCAAGCTGAAATCCAAGTTCAAGAAGATGTCCTTTAAAGAAAAGAAGCAAAAGGAATGTTAATGACATTTCTAATAACAAAGAAAAAATAAAAACACTAACTTATTTTTATAGCTCAGCCAAAATTTAGGTCCAGGAAGATGTTCCCTAAAGAAAAGAAACAAAAGAAACATTAATAGTGTTTCAAGAACAAAGAAAGACAAAGAAAAATAAAAAAAACTCACACCTAACTTACTTTTATAACCTAAGCTAAAATTTAAATTCAAGAAGGCATCTCCTAAAGAAAAGAAAGAAAAAAATGTTAGTAACATTCCAAAAAAAAACCAAATTTACCTCTCATTCTAACATATCTTTTAATTCAAGCTGTTCAATTAAATTCTGAAGTTCAAGTCCATATTCATATCTGATTCTAAAGAAAAAAAGAAAAGTTTTTTTTTAAAAAAAATAAAATAAAATAAAATAACTGGATTATCTAATAAATCTAATTATTTATATAACATCTAATCAATCTAATATTATTCAATAGATCTATTCAGAGTATTTATAATCTATTCATTCATAATCTGAATGATCCATTTTTTGATCAGATCACATAAT